CAAGCCATGCTGTGGCAGGCATCCCACATATAAAATAGAGGAAGATGGGCACGGATGTTAGCTCAGGGCCAGTCTTCCTCATCAAAGAGAGGACGATTGGCAGTGGATGTGAGCTCAGGGCTAATCTTCCTCAAAACAAAAAAAAAAAAGAATGAGTGAAGAGAACACAAGACAAAAAGAAAAAAGGAGTTGGTAGAGCTAAGCATATAAATTAAGATAAAAGTTAATGCTATTGCTGAACTCGTTTTGATTATCCAAATAATAGTGACACTGTAAGAAATGTAAAGTAATAACCTGGGGACAAGGCGATGCCATGTCCGTGCCCAGGATTTGAACTGGTGAAACCCTGGGCCGCCAAAGCGAAGTGTGTGAACTTAACCACTCAGCCACAGGCCAGCCCCCTATATCCTATAAATCTTATCCTATAAATATTCTTGCTTCTCAGATGCTCTTTGAATTGGTCATAGTGTCTTTATTGGTTCCTTCATTAATCAATGAATTAAGTAAAATCTTTGACGTGTTCATTTTATATTTGCTGGAAAGTCATGCTTTTACCTTTTTGAAAATTATACTTTAACATATCTCATAAGTGTGCAAACATAGACTCTAGTCACAGGTCTTCTCCAGCATAATAGGGAAAGGACCAGTGATTGTACATGCTGCATTTCACGAATTTTGAAAAGGCTGTGTTGATGCCAATAATCCATAGTCAATCTACAAACCAAAATTGGGGTGAGTTTATTATGAGCCAGATCTGAGGACTAACCTAGCCCAGGGCCTTCCTTCCCCAAGGAAGGAAGGGCACCAAAGAAGTGGGGTGTACAGGATGGTCATATACTGTCTTGGAACAAAGAGCATGCATCACATATGATAGGAATGGCCCTTTTACAACAGTCATGAGATTGCCTAGCCGGCACAGCACAGCTGTTCACACAGCAGGTAGGAGGGCCACTGTCTCGCTGGACACACCAGTAGCCCGTCTGTTGTCTCGAGGTGGGTGGTCACAGGGTGGGTGCAGCGATCAGTTCCAACCTAGGGAGAGATGCTTATCCTTAAGGAAATGCCAATGTGGGGGAAGTTACATCTTTATCTTAAGGCCCTTTGTTCTTATCTTTGGGACATAGCAAATGCTTAAAGCAGATATACAATGCATGCTCAACAGCCACGTCAGGCCTTTTTGGAAAAACAAGGTCAGGCCAAATTAGTTTTACACCAAATGGCTTCCTCATATACTCCAATATATCCTATTGCTCGCCATTTGTTTATCAGCTGGGTTAACGCTATGAAATAGAGATGTAAAGAACTGGTTCAAAGTTCAGTTTATTTCAAATCTTGGCGGGCAAGTGACTGTAATTGCCAGAACAGATATCTCATGAAACCTCCTCATATACAACAATTAGGGTGAGGCTCATAACAAAAATAAAGTAAATCAGTATTTCAAACTATGTTGACAATTTTCAACGTTTTGACCAACTTCTTGCAAAATATGCTGGATTTTTGTTACTTTTTCTTGTCAAGTAGCTAAGAGCTTCTACTGTTGTAGGAATATTTGTCAGTGCCACACTGGATTCCTGGTTGCTGGTGCACGCACCATTAGAGTTATTTTTAGATGAGCAGTTTCTCTGCACGAGTCTTTTAAAGCCACTTGCCCATTGTGTAAGTAAGGTTTAGTAGAGACTGGATAATATTATCTGCACTTAATCAGGTGCTCGTGACCTACAATATGTTACTACACTCTGAAGGGGTTCAGAGAGGAAAGTTAGCACAACAAGAAGCTTCTCTTCTCTAAGAAAGTGACACGTGACAAAGATTCAGAGTGGGAAACCCAGTGCAATATAGTATATTAAATATCAGTACTAAGTTTAAATTCTTGCTTGCTTTTTAAATAAAAATAAAATGAAGTAAAAATTCTGGTATTTTCTTCCTGCATCTCAGTGGTTTTTCTTGCACACTCCTGGGGTACACACAGCCCACTGGCGTCTGAAAAAAGGATGTTTCTTTTCAAGTCTGAGATTTGGCAGTTACTAAGTGGGTGCCACCACTTGGTGGCAGTGGCGTCCCATAACTGTAGTATCCATTTTGCAGGAATAAATAAAACACTTCTAAAGAGAGTTACTGTAAACAGTTAAAGGCAGGCGATGACAAAACACACTCAGCTACACACAGTCCTTCGTCCGGAATGTGGACAATGCTGAACTTTACCTGAGCCCTGTGCTTCTGGAAAGCAGAAAACTTTTGTTTTCTGAAACCTCCCCATTCTTTTGTGTTCTAGGAAAGCGCTTACTCAAAGAACTACCCTTTGGACTTAGATAAAACTCTCTGTCTACTCTTTCTCATGACTCCCATAGTTCTGGAGGATGACTCCTCTGTTTACCTGTGACAAGGCCAATCACAGATCTTTCCCCTTTTGCCTGAACCTGCTGACAAGACCAGACATACATCCTCCAACTTCCCATTCTTTGTTATAATGGATTAGCTAAGATTAGAACTAGTTGTTCCCCTGAAACTAGCTAACCACAGAGAAAAACATTTTCTGTTTAGCTACCTGACTGAGACTTCTGCTTGCAAAACAACCCCAACTCGAAATCACGCCACCTAAAGCCTGTTCACCCTCCCCATGTGAGGCTAAGGCCATCCACCCTTCGGAGGCGCTCTGATCTTTGGATCTGGAATAAAATCAATCTCTGTACTTGTCGGGGTTTGTCTTTGACACACGCTTTGAAGCAGTTTCACCCTCAGCGAATCTAAGCCTGTCATCCAGGCAGACAGATGACTACCTACCCTGCAGGATGTCTCCTGGGAACACCTCCCAAAAGAGGTTTTCTTTCATTTTTAACGCTCAAACTTCATAAAACACGTCTCTCTCAATATAACATTTCCAGCCAACAATTATATAGAAAAATCTCCTATTTACATTTTAAACGTAATAAAATATTTTTGACAAAATGAAATGCAGGAAAAGTCTTTCATAGCAAATACTACTGATGGTCTTCAGAGTCAGTTATGGGTTGCATTGTGTCCCCCCAAAAGATATGCTGAAGTCCTAGCTCCTGGTACCTGTGAATGTGACCTTATTTGGAAAATGAGTCTTCGCAGATATAATTAAGATGTAAGTTAAGATGAGGACGGAGCCGGCCCCGTGGCCGAGTGGTGAAGTTCGTACACTCCGCTTTGGCGGCCCAGGCTTTCACCTTTGGATCCTGGGCGCAGACATGGCACCGCTCATCAGGTCATGTTGAGGCAGCGTCCCACACGCCTCAACTAGAAGGAGTCACAACTAAATAAAATATACAACTGTATCGGCCAGCCCAGTGGCACAGCAGTTAAGTGTGCACATTCCGCTTTGGTGGCCTGGGGTTTGCTGGTTCAGATCCTGGGTGCAGACATGGCACTGCTTGGCAAGCCATGCTGTGGTAGGCGTCCCATATATAAAGTAGAGGAAGATGGGCACAATGTTAGCTCAGGGCCAGTCTTTTTCAGCAAGAAGAGGAGGATTGGCAGCAGATGTTAGCTCAGGGCTAATCTTCCTCAAAAACAACAACAATTATATACTGGGGGGATTTGGGGAGAGAAAGCAGAAAAAAAAAAAGATTGGCATCATTGTTAGCTCAGGAGCCAATCTTAAAACAAAAAAAATGAGGTCACACTCAAGTAGTGTGGGCCCTTGACCCAATATGACTGGCATCCTTATAAGAAGAAGACAGACACACACAGGGAGAATGCCATGTGATGACGGAGGCAGTGATTGGAATGATGCATCTACAAGTCAAGGAACACCAATGTTAATGCAAATAATCCATAATCAATCAAAAATCAAAATTGGGGTGAGTTTATTACATGAGCCAGCTTTGAGGACTGTAGCCCAGAGGCTTCCCTTCCTAAGGAAGGAGGCACTCCAAAGAAGTGGGGTGTGCAGAGTGCTTACATGCCATCTTGGAACAAAGAGCATACATCACATATGACAGGCATCTCTCTGACAACAGTCACGAGATGCTTTGCTAGCACAGCAGGTCAGTGGTCACAAGGTGAGTTAAAGCAGGTCAGGAATTAATCCTCAGCTTCTGGGAAGAAATGCTTATCCTTAAAGATATGCTTATATGCGGGAGGCAACATCCCTATCTTTAAGGGCATCGTTCTTGGCTTTGGGATGTTGTCAATGTTTAAAGCAGATATACAATGCATGCTCAACAGGCCACGTCAGACCTTTCTGGAAAAACAAGGTCAGGCTGAATTAGTTTTAAACTAAATGGCTTCCTCACATACTCCAGTATATCCTATTGCTTTTCATTTATTCATCACCAAGGATTACTGGCAACATAAGAAGCTAAGAAAAAGGCACGGAACAGATTCTTTCCTAGAACCTTTAGAAAGAGCATGGCCTGTCCACATGTTTGATTTTGGTCTTCCGGCCTCCAGATTTGTGAGAGAATATATTTCTGGGGTTTTTTTTAAGCCATTCAGTTTGTGGTGCTTTGTTATGGCAGCTCTAGAAAATTAACGTAGAGCCCCTGTTAAAATGTTTGAAAATTGTGGAATTGAGTGTCCTCAAAAGGGATGCAGTACAGAACCATTGTGGTGTCAAAGCAAAAACTGCATGAGACAAAGCTAAACAGGCAAAGAAGACTTTATCCAAGGCTACTGCAATAGGGAAGAGAGGCCAGAACTAAGCCTGAACTCAAGTGCACATCAGCAGAGCGGATAGATCTTCCTAAGGGCTGGGATGAGCTAGCGGAAAAATACTGGAGGACATTAGGGGGAAGTCATAGGCCATCTATGTTTGCTAATTGGCTTTATCCAAAGGAAAAATAAATTTCTCATATCTTTATGACAAGAGAGAGTTTTGCAACTTGGAGCAAGTCCTCTTAGAATTCGGAGCAAGGCAATTTGGAATTCGGCTCCTGCCTCCCACAGACACTGAGAGATAGGGCGCTCTCTCTGCTGATTACATTTCAAAGAGATGGCTCCCAGGTTCTTGAGAAAGACTTTCCTGGGTTGTAAAACTGACAAGAGGCTTTTTAAAAGATTTACATCTCAACGGGGCAGAGAAATAATTTACAATTATGAGTTTTCTAAGATAAATAATCTAAGAGTCGTTCATGCAGAACAACTGATTTTCAGTAACAGATTACTGATCTAAAGCAGTAAAAAATAAAATTAAAAAAATATAGCAGGAGATGACTACATTTCTGAATTGCTTAATTTTTTTTTTAGGAATTTTGGAATCATAGATTCTAATTTCTTTTAAAGAATCCTCTCTCTGACAGGGAAATTCAGTGCAGACCCACCACATTCTGAATCCTAGAACGAGCCATGTTTAATGAGCTTTCTCTCCTTGTTCCCACTTCTAACCCCACTCTCCTCAAGATGCAGGACAGATGGGCCAAACACTCAAAGACCAACAGCAGGACAACCACACTGGCAAATTGCCTAGGAAGCTTGGGAGCGAATAACAAACATCTGTTCTAAAATCCACACCCCAGACTAAAGGAGACAGCTGCTGACCCTACTCCCTGTAGCCCAAGACAATGCTTTGAAACGGCTGTTGGAAGCCAAGCATTAAAAAACAAACACAAACCAAAACATCACAGAATAGAAAATTCTATTGCATAATAAAATGCAATAATAACATACTTATGTACGTTTGTAGACATTTGTGTATGTTTGTGTCCTGGGTCATAATGTAAGGTGTATTCCTTTGAGAACTGTTCTAAGAAATCCCCAGTAGTTACTAGAAAGGAATGGAAAAGGAGTCAGTTAATACTAAATGTCTTAGACATCAGCAGGCCAAGATTTGAGATCCAGTCCCACCCCCCTCAATTCACCTACCAGTCGATATTACTGGTCGTCCAAATCACTTGAGGAATTTTCCACTGTCCCAATTTTGGTATTTGAAACCCAAAACGCATTGCATTACCACTGTCCTCTGGTTCCTCTCACCTCCTGGCAAGCAGCCTCTTTCACTCGCTTCTGGTAGGCCAGTAAGGAATAAGTGGGCCAGTAAGTTGGCAGGAGGGAATAAGGAAAAATCATGTCCATCTTGTTTCTGTAGATAGATAAATGTGGACAAACAAAAATCATCTCAAGGGTCTGTAGAAAACGTCTTAAATCAAGCTCCACTATTTTCACGAATAAGAAAAACTTAATGCCATTACCATAAAGTGATTTGCTTGAGGTCACATAGCAATTTAGTGATAAATTTAGAGCAGGAAACTTGGTCTTCATATTTTCTGACCAGGGTTCTCCCTGCTAACTCCACGCCCCCTGATGGAGAAGTGTGTGAATAGTATTTAGGCGTGGATATATTTTTATTAAATTTTACTCAAGAGTCTGCACAGTGGATGGTCCGGAACACAGTAGGTGGTGGTGAGTGTAGTTGGCATTCCTCTCCATTCTTCCTCAATTTATCTGGAGTGAAAGGGTGTGGAGGGAAGACCTGAGTTCAGTTTGACTCACTAATCATATAGCAGTTGCCTAAGTGGGCCTAGAAGAGGGTGAAACTGGAAAGGAGTTAGCCATTGATGATTAAGTAGCTAAGAACTAAAGTTTTTTCCTTTATGCAATTACTGATTATAGCTTTTAGCTGTTTAACCCACCCATGGTTAACTGTGCTGCTTAGGCAATATGCTATCTGACTCCCACTAGGCTCCTATAGATAACATCTCCCTGGAGCCTGGGTCACCATGGTAACGGGTGTGCGAGCTGTTTTTCAGGAATTACCACTCCTTGTCCACTTCAGGAGGGTTGAGACCACCAACTCATCAACTGGGCCCATGCAGATGTCCGATAGGCGACCTTTTGACGTCAAGAGGCTAAAAACTCCACCCTCGGATCATGCTAACGCCACCATTTTGTGAACATGGGTCCTATGAAGAGGCATGAAGTCTGACCACGCTTGCACAGATCATCAATGACCTCACCTCCAATCACCTCTCTCCACATTTCAGACCACCTTGGCCCGTATCCCATAAATATCCCTGAGTCCCTATTTTCGGGGAAGCAAATTTGAGGCTCATGTTCTTGCTTCCTCACGTGGCTGCCTTGTGAGCAAACTCTCTCTCTGCTGCAGTCTCGTCGTCTTGGTGTTTGGCTGTCTGGGCAGCAGGCAAAAACGAACCTGGTTCAGTAACAAGGGTGACTCCCAGGAGGGTTCCAAGCAGGATGTGTCCACATCTGTAGCTTACTGACAGCTGATGGAAATATTATCTAGAGTACGTTAAAACACCCAAAGAGAAAACAGAACAAAGCTACACATGATTTGAAACTCAAAAATTTTCTGTAAATTACACATCAAGAAGGCGGAAATGAAAAAATAAAAAAAAGAAGAAAGAATTTTCTCGTCCTGAATTCCAAGACAAAATTCTACAGAGTGAAAGTCTAGAAAAGTTTTTACCATTTTTTGTGATAATACACATTCTTTCTTGTTCAGTAGATACAATCTTAATTCATTTTATTATTATTTTTAATTGTGAAAGGATTTCCAATTAATACATCATCACCTCACATATTTATCTTTTTTTTTGGTGAGAACGTTTAAGTTATACTCTCTTAGCAAATTTTAATTATATAGTACAGTGTTATCAACTGTAGTCATCATATTTTACATTAGATCCTCAGACCTTATTAATCTTATAACTGAAAGTTTTGTACATTTTACCAACCTTTCCCTATTTCCCCCACTCCCCAGCCCTGGCAACCACTTTTATACTCTCTGTTTCTGTGAATTTTCCTTTTTTTTAAGATACCACATATAAGTGACATGATGCAGTTTTTGTCTTTCTCTATCTGGCTAATTTCACTTAGCATAATGCCCTCAAGTTTCACCCACATTGTTGCAAACGGTAGCATTTCCTTCTTTCTCATGGCTGAATAATATTCTATTGTCTATATATACATACCACATCTTCTTTACCATTCAACCGTTGATGGACACTTAGGTTGTTCTCATGTCTTGGCTATTGTAAACAATGCTGCAATGAACGTGGAGTGCCGATGTCTCTTCAAGATCCTGTTTCATTTCCTTCAGATATAGACCCAGAAGTGGGATTTGCTGGATCACATGGTAGTTCTATTTTTTTTAATTTATTTTTTTTGCAGGGGAAGATTTTGCCCTAAGCTAACATCTGTTGCCAATCTTCCTCCTTTTTCTTCCCTTTTTTCCCCCAGAGCCCCAGTACCTAGTTGTGTATAGTTGTAAGTTCCAGTTCTTCTATGTGAGCCACTGCCCCAGCATGGTTACTGACAGACAAGTGGTGTTGTTCTGTGCCTGGGAACTGAATCCGGGATGCTGAAGTGGAGTGTGCTGAATTCTAACCACTAGACTATCAGCACTGGCTCTGTTTTTAATTTTGAGGGGAACCTCTATATTGTTCTCCATAGTGGCTGCACCAATTTACATTCCCATCAACAGTGTACAAGGGTTCCTTTTTCTCCATCTCCTTGCCCACACTTGTCATCTCTTGTCTTCTTAATGATAGCTATTCTAACATGTGTGAGATGATATTTCATTGTGTTTTTTTTTTAAAAGATGGCACCTTAGCTAACATCTGTTGTCAATCTTTTTTCTTTTCTTCTTCTCCCCAAATCCCCCCAGTACATAGTTGTACTGTAGTTGTAGGTCCATCTGGTTGTGCTATATGGGATACCACCTCAGTGTGGCTTGATGAGCGGTGCTAGGTCTGCGCCCAGGATCCGAACTGGTAAAACCCCAGGCCACCGAAGCAGAGTGCATGAGCTTAACCACTCGGCCATGGGGCTGGCCCCTCATTGTGGTTTTGATTTGCATTTCCCTGATGATTAGTGATGCTGAGCATCTTTTCATGTACCTGTTGGCCATTTATATGTCTTTGGAAAAACATCTATTCAGATCCTCTGCTCATTTTTCAATCAGGTTAATAAAAATATAATTTAATAAGATAATAAATAAATCTTAACTAATTTTAAGTGAGCTATACACATCATTTCCAAAACTGTTTTTCCTTGACCCAAATCAAAGCTTTTTTACATTTCTCTTTCAATGAATGTTTTGTGCAGCATGACTGGAGAGAGTCCAGATTCTAATACTTATGGCCAATCCAGTGTAAAATTGGCAGGTAGTCCCTGTCAAAATCCAGAAACTATAAAAAATACAACCAGATCAATAAAATCGTATTTAGTAAGAGTTTCTTGTGCATAGAAGCACAGTTTGCAAACTGAGAGTCTTCAAACCAGCAGTGGCATGAAACCCAGAAGCACGTTATAGGATGGCTTATATAGTGAAAACATGGAAGCTATTTAATGTTTATAATGATTGGTTATAGCACTGGGGGTTTTCCAAATGAAGGGGATTGGTTAAAATTGGTCTTCTTCTGCCACTTTTGGAAAACAATTTAGGTTTTGTTTATGATTTTCAGAGGCATTTACAAGAAACCAGTTAAGTTTGGCTTATGTTGCAGAATAAGTTATATTGGTTTCTCTTACATGGCTTAACTGGTGCTGTCTGTTCAGGAAATTTTCAAGTCTGGTCTCCATTTTGTATTTGATTTGAACACCTCTATTCTTGTTCACTCAAGAAATTAACATAAGCACTTTCTCTTATACAATGAGCAACTAAGGTATGATACTAAGCACCTGCTCACCAGAAGCATAAGCAGACAGGTTTTAAATTAAAAGTTAATTTTGGGGGCCAGCCCCTTGGCCAAGTAGTTAAGTTCATGTACTCCACTTCAACAGCCTGGGGTTTGCCAGTTCAAATCCTGGGTGCAGACCTACGCACCGCTCATCAAGCCATGATGAGGCAGCGTCCCACATAGAAGAACTAGAAGGACCGACAACTAGGATATACAGCTATGTACTTGGGGGCTTTTGGGAAAAAAAAAAAGGAGGGTGGGGCAACAGATGTTAGCTCAGGGCCAATCTTCCTAACTAAAAACAACAACAACAAGAAGTTGATATTGACCATCTGATGCTGAAGCAGAAATCCTCTCCCAGAGCACCTCATCCAACCTTCGTTTAAGGATGAAACTCTTTTAGTTAATGAAAGAGGCTGAATGAGAACTGTTGATGCCAATTATCAATAATCAACCTATAATGGAAGAGAGTTTTTTATTTGAGCCAAGCTGAGGACTAGCCCAGAAGTGCAGTCTTCACCAAGGAAGAAAGCTCTCTGCAGAAGCATGGTTTTAGGCACAGTTTATACCATTTCAGAACAAAGAACATACATCAATTTTTTTTCCTCAAAGTTTCAAGGAGATATTTTGTTTACAGATTAGCATGTACACAGCGGGTCAACATGACCCTGGTGCCATGGGATGGGAGATTCATCTGGCATCACAAGAAGGGAGGCGCTAATTTTTATCTTCAAAGAGCACATTCTTTACTGTAGGGTAGTGATTGAACACATCCTTTACTCTAATGGTTAGAGCAGGGGTACAATGTGTGTTTGACAGGTCAGGCTTCTTTAGTTCACAGAAAGTTCAGGCAGAATCAGGTATAAACCAGAATGGCTTCCCTATATACTTTAATACGTAAAAATTTCTTATCAGAACTCAAATTGCCTTATTATACTTCAGTCATTGATTCACCAGACATTTGTTAAGCACCAACTTTGTGCCAGACACCATTAGGAGCTGGACAGACAAAAGGAAAAACACAGATAAGGTCCTAGCCATTGCCAATCTTATAGTATGGTGGAGGGACAGACCACAAAAATTGAACAAGGAAAATATATAACAAATTGCATTCAATGCCACAAAGAAAAAATAACAGGGTACTTTGAGAGAGAACAAAGGAGGACTGCCTGATACAGGTTGGGTGGTTAAGAAAATTCTCTTAGAAAAGTTAATTTTGGGGGCCAGCCCGGTGGCGTAGTGGTTAAGTTTGTGCACTCCATTTCAGTGTCCCAGGATTTACAGGTTCAGATCCAGGGCATGGACCTACGCAATGCTTATCAAGCCATGCTGTGTCAGGTGTCCCACATATAAAATAGAGGAAGATGGCAAAGATATTAGCTCAGGGCAAGTCTTCCTCAGCAAAAAAAAAAAAGAAGAAAAGAAAAGGTAACTTTTAAGTAGAAAACCAAAGGATGAGAAAGAGCCTGCTATGGTTGTTTGGGGAAGAAGCCTCAGAAAGAGGGAAGAACTTGGGAAAGCTTGGGATACGAAAGAACCTGTGCCTTCTAGGACTGGAGAGAAGGCCTGGGTATTTGGAACTTAGTGAGTAAAGACTGCAACTTGTTTTCTCTTTAGCTTTGATCCTCTTTCCTAAAAGGAAAGCTTATGCCGCAGCCCAGTAAGTAAAACAGATGAGAACACAGCTTCTCTCATGGGAAAGGTGGGCAGAACACCCCCTAAATGAACACCTTAGAATGTGAAGCGATCAGAACTGTGCCTGGCTCAGAGTGAGTGCTCAAAAAGCACAGGCTTTGACAAAGGCAAGGATAGGAAGCCTTATTCCTCCTTCCACAACCTTCAGGTGTCCCCTTAGTGGACTCAGAGAAATGCCCAGGGTTCCAAAGAACAGAGCCTGATAATCATTGCACTCACACTGCTGCCCCACAGGGGAACATGAGTTTCTGAAACCATGTTGTTTATAAAATCAACTTAATACAAAGTCTTTCTGGAGGAGATGATTAGTGAGGAATTCTGATTAAAATTACATACAGGTCTTGATTTCTGGAGAATCTTTAACAAAACAATGCTAAGAGACGTGAGCAAGGTGAAGAGTCTCAGATAAGGCACAATTGATGGTGTAAATGAAGTAGAAGGGAGGCTAACCGAGAAAAGAGAGAGAGATGGCAAAATGTGCTCTGACCCAGTGCTTCTCACACACTCATGCATAAGGAGCACCTGGAAAACTGTTAAAACAGCCCCAGAGCTTGTGATGTGGCAGATTTGAGGTGTGTCTTGAGAATTTGCACTTCTCACAAGTTCCTAGATGAAGCTGATGCCTCTAGCCTAGTGACTGCGCAGTGGGAACCACTGGTGTAGATCCCGGCAACCTGGAAAAAATGAAATGGGAACAGATTATGGGGCAGGTCGTGCCCAACGATGAGGTTCTTTTTGGCAGAATTAGTCGTCTCGCGTAGTTAGAAGCCGGGGAGGGTTGGCCTCTCTCCTGCACCCTCCCTACTAGGTTGCAGTGAAAGCAAGTCTGTAGCATCCAGACATTTATTTGCAAACAGATACAAAACAGTTCAGAAGCCCTGCTCTCTAAGTTCGACAAAGACCCGCTATCTGTCCCTTTAGGTGCTTGGAGCACACCCAGCCTAACAAGTTCATTCAGTTATTCAGGATGAGTCAGGCTCAGGGAGCCCAAATCCTCTGAATGAATGGCTGGATGCAAAATGTTTAGGGCTCAAGATGTGGATGCCATCCTTAGGGCTATATGCTTCCAGAACCCTGAGTTCTGATAACCTGTTCATGCAAGCGTGGAAGCATTTCTAAAATATTTCAGCAAATCCTCATTTCCTGAATATCAC